AAAAATAATAAAGAGAAAAGAGGAGACTTGGAGACTTGATGAGCATAGAGTGCTTCCTGGGAACTTCTTTCTTGCCACCTTGACGCCCAAGAGGTTTGTCAGTAATTTTTTTTTGCCATAGCTATACTTTGGGGGGAAAGTCTGAGAATCACTGTACTACATCCTTTACTCCTTCATTTTCATTCATTCAGCAATTATTTAAGGGCTTCTGTGCCAGATATTATGCTAAGGTGATGCCACATAAAAGGTGCAATAATGGGAGTAGGGACAAAGCATGGTGAAAAGAAGAGGATCATCAATGTCAGCTTAAGAAGAGTCAAGGCAAGCATCACAGGAGAAGGTGTCAGAACCAAGATTTGATGGATGAGGAGTCTGATGGTCAGAGGAGGAATCCAAGCAGAGGAATCAGAGTGGTAGCGTAACATTATTGGAGCATTATATAAAGGGATAGGTGGGAAGAAATGGTGGGAAATGATATATTTTACTGGGTACTTAGTACATATCAAGCACATTTTATTTTATCTTTTTGAGTTGGAGTCTCACTCTCTCACCCAGGCTGGCGTGCAGTGGCACGCTCATGGCCACCACAGCCTCAGCCTGCTGAACTCAGGTGATCCTTCTCCCTCAGTCTTCCAAAAAGCCGGAACTACATGCACAAGCCACCACACTAAGCTAATTTTATGATTTATTATAGAGACGAGGTCTCACCAAGTTGCCCAGGCTGGTCTCAAACTCCTGGGCTCAGGCAATCCTCTTGCCTAGGCTTCCCAAAGTGCTGGGATTACAGGTTTGAGCCACCAGCCTATTTTATTTTTTGAGTAGGAGTCTCACTCTGTCCCCCAGACTGGAGTGCAGTGGCATACTCACGGCCACTGCAGCCTCAACCTGCTGGGCTCAGGTGATCCTTCTGCCTCAGCCTTCCAAGTAGCTGGAACCATAGAAGTGCGCCACCAAGCTCAGCTAATTTTTTTGGTTTATTGTAGAGACATGGTCTCTCCAAGTTTCCAGGCTGGTCTCGAACCCCTGGACTCAGGCAATCCTCTCGCCTCGGCCTCCCAAAGGGCTGGAATTATGGTGTGAGTCACTGTGTCCAGGCTTCAAGCACGTTTTAAGTAAATTTAATGCTCAAAACAATCCTATGCAGTAGAAACTGCTATCACTTTCCATTTTCAGACAAGAAATAAAGCTAGATGGGGCCAGCTCACAAAAGACCTCTTCAGCATGCCTTGCAATAGAGTTTTGGTATTATCCATGGTGCCAGAGACTAGCCCCAGATTGAGCCACTATCTTTTCCAAACTCCTGACCACTCACTCTCGTCCCTACCATTCACCTTAGCACTTACTCATATACAATTCTGCATCAATTGTTTCATATGATTTTCTTTCACATAAAACCAGTCATCATAAGGGACAGAAAACAATGTCTTATTTTTTTGTTATCATATTAATAAGAAAAGTAACTAAGAAGAGGGCCTGTAGCTTAGTTTTGCTCAAGAGCTCAACTTCCTAATCATCACATCAATTTTGTAGCATAATGCACAGCCTGGTACAGTACTGCTTTTCATACCATTTCTTAGTAGCCGAACCCTTTCAACAAACAGTCAATACATAAAATTGATAAAAGCAGATCACCTACGGTTAAAAGGAGAGGGAGGCCCAAAGTACCAAGCTGACGTCTGCCCGCTACTGGGGCACCCACATGAAATTCCTCAATTATCTGAATTCATTTGAAAACTTATAGAGTAGGCAATAGAGCACTGTCAGGGGGATCCCAGCTCCAACACTCATAAAGTTACCTATAATTGACCCCTCTCCTCAATGTGCTTTCCAAAAAGCCCTCTAGTTACTATTCTCTAGACAGGAAAGTCCCAAGCTTAAAGATAATGTCTCAAACATAGGGGATATTTTTTAAAACCAGAGTTCCTGAGCAATGCTCATGCCAAGAGGACACAACTCACTAGAGTCACATTTTTTTTCCTTTTTCTTTTAACAAATGTCAAACTTCCTTAAAGCAAACCAAAACAAAGCTAAAGCAATGCCTTGGGCAATTAGAGATCTGGAACAAAGAGGCTTTCTAAGTGGCTTGTTAGAATTCTGTAAAGAACAGTTTGCACAATAAGCTTCCTTATATTCATCATCAGTTGAAATGATGGTACAAAAATTCTATCAACACTAGGACCCTTTTGTTGCTCACACAAATTCAGACAACAGCAATGGTCTTAGTATAGGCACTTGAATCACCAGTGAATTAGAATTTTTTCAGCATTTAGCACCAACAGAAACGAGTGAGTAGGACTGAGATAAGTGAAAACATAAGTTGCCATAGTAACTTGCACATTTACCCTAAAATGGCGGGAGTGGGGGTGGGGAAGTAGGTCAATATTTCTGCTTAACTAGTTCTATTCCTTGTCTAAAGCAGCATCCTCCTCCTTCCTGGCCCCTGACACAATCAAGAGGGGGAAAGTCAGATGAGCTTTTCAAAAAAGCAGGGGGTGGGGAAAGGTCTAGGTAGAAGAAAGGAGAACCAAGAAGACAGTCAAATAAAAACCTCAGGAGTACCCTGGGACTACCCCAGGGAAGGCAGCTACTGATCAAGGGCACCAGTGCTAAGAAACTGTTGCTGGGTTACTACAAATCAGAAACTGCCATTTTTCCTGTAGCAGTTTAAGTGCAGCTAATGGAACACTTGGGAGTGCATTATTAACGGCTTAGGGTTGGGGTTGTGGTGAGGAGGAAGGAAGACTCTAGTATGGGAGAAATCTGAGGCTCTTGGCTTCTTTGATGGTTGAGAACTATGAACAGGGCTGAAGGATGCTCTAAAAGAGAGGGAGGGCAGGAGGCTTAGGGGATCCTCTTCAAAATAAGCTGATTTTGTTAACACAGAAACATAGTGCTTGGATCTGAAACGGCTACTCATCCAAGAGGGCTGGGTGACTCTGCTCTCTGAACTGGTGTGGAGTGCCAGGCCTCACTGTCAGCTCTTCCACCTGCAGTGCCAACAAATGTGGAAAGCAGGTTAAGTAAAAAAGCATTTGGAAACAGATGCTGTACTACTTTCCTGCAGCTGTTAGTGTCTGTACAGGGATAACTTAGAGCATCATTATTGGTTTTAACCATTTGGTGTGAAGGTCCTGGTATTCCAGATGATAGAAAGGATAATCTTTGGCGAGAGGGAAAGGGGAGTCCAAAAACACAGAAGCATTTTTTTTAACGAGTGACTGTTTCACACACTAACCTCTAGACACTCTACTGCATTGTCCCTAGTCTTCCATAGGCAAGGCCATTCATACAGCACTGGGAAGTGTCTTTCTTTTTTTTTGAGTCGGAGTCTCACTCTTGTCACCCAGGCTGGAGTGCAGGGGTATGCTCACTGCCACCATAGTCTTGACCTGCTGGGCTTCAGCGATCCTTCCACCTCAGTCTTCTAAGTAGCTGGAACTACAGATGCACACCACCACATCCGGCTAGTTTTTTCTGTGATTTATTGTAGTGACCAGCTGTACAGGCTGGTCTCAAACCCCTGGGGTCAGGCAATCCTCTTGCCCCAGCCTCCCAAAGTGCTGGGTTTACAGGTCGAGCTACCATACCCGAGCAGGAAGTGTATTTCAACCCAGCAACACACTTACTTGCAGAATGGGAGAAGGACAGGTTCAGTCTCAAATCTGAGCTCATGTTTTCAGAAATAAGGTAGTATCTGCAAATTGACCCTGTGCTTCTACACATCTCTATTCCTCTATCCTACAAAAGTGGTGAAAGAGACTCAGAGACAGTGTAGTACTTTAGAGACTTTAGGATGACTTTAGAGACCAAGAGCAGTGAGGATCTTGGGAGAGCAACACCAGAACAGGCTTGTTGTACAGACTGGGGAGAGAAACCCAAAGCAGCAGGTACCAGGCCTGCAGAAATACTATGCGGAGAAGGAGCACATGCTGAGCAGTGTGCATAATCTTAAGGTGGGAGGCTCCAGGCAATAAGACGTCAGTCACTCTTGGGAGAGAACTAGAACAACAAACAGATGCTATTCTGTCACCAACTCTCAGCAGGGCCCAGAAAATCATTCAGTCTGGCCAGCTCAGAAGAATTTTTCTTTACATATAGCAGCACATGAGACAAAGAGACATTTGTGAAGAAATCTTTTTCTTAACTTGTTATTCCAGAATATGTTCAAGCATATACAAAATGGAGAAAACTGGATAATGCCCTATCACATGGCTCCAAAAACAGTTAAAATTCTAGCGCTAATCTTACAGCTGAGATCACTAGAATAATCCCTAAGTGTTATACATCAAAAGCCTACAACCCAAAAGAGCAACTTCTGAACTCTCCAGGAGCGCTAGGAAGAGGTTATTCTAGAAAAGCTGCAGTGGTAAAAGAGAAGAAACAGACTTCAATTTCAATTCTTGAGGAACGTCAGCTAGAATAATTATACCCACAAAGTTTTTCTACAAGTAATGTTACTTGAACTTTTAATTCCTAAAAGATGCATTTCTGTCTGCTGAGGCCGGGCTCAGTGGCTCAGCCTGTAATCCCAACGCTTTGGGAGGCCAAGGTGAGTAGATTGCCTGAGCCCGTGGGTTCGAGAACAGCCTGAGCAACTTGGCGAGACCTCATCTCTACAATAAATCAAAAAATTAGCTGGGCGTGGTAGCATGCGCCTGTAGTTCCAGCTACTTGGAAAGCTGAGGTGGAAGGATAGCTGGAGCCCAGCAGGTCAAGGCTGCGGTTGTGCCACGGCACTCCAGTCTGGGCGACGGAGTGAGACTCCAACTCAAAAAAAAAAAAAAGAATCACTGTGTTGCATAAACCTGCACATGAAGGCTCCATGGCCACTGCAGTTAGCCTTCCAGGACTGTGTCTTGATTACAATCCTCTTCCACTGTGACATAAGCATTTGAAGCCAATTTTAGTACAAAAGGGCAAGACAGGTTTAGTTTACTTATGACCTACTAAAACCCACCACGTGCTGGCATTTGGAAAGCCAAAGCAAGGTCTCTACTTACTGGTACTGTTACATCATCATAAAAACTCCAAGCTAGGGCCCATCTCATTGTCCGACCTTGACAGAATTCAGTGTAGGTGACTTTAGGAACCTGAAACCAACAAACAGCATCTCACCAAACTTAAGTCACTCTACCATTGTTTCTGGTTGCTGCCTCATATTAAATTATCTGTTGGCTCCTTTTTTTTAATCAGTTAACAAACACTATTATCACAACTCAGTTATAAAAGCTGCGTATATAATGAACAAGTAAATTATGTTTCAACAAAGTTTTCATTTCTTTCCTCCCATAAAACATTAGAATTTATAGATGTAGCAAAAAGGCTCAAATATATGAAACACCTAAAACACAGCTCTTTAGATAATTATTTGTAAAATGATTTGTATACATTTTTGTTTTCTTTCTTAAGAAAGACAGTCAACCATAGACTGGCTAAACACAGCTATGCTATGTTCCCTGTATCTATAAGATTTTAGGAAGTAAAAAGGAACTGCTTTGTAGCTTTTACAATTTACCAAAGAAACAGTACGGTGGGGAAAACAGGAAAAGAATGTCAGAGAGAAACCAGAGAGGCCTGGTTTTTACCACTGACCCGCATTTGACTGCCTTTGGTGTAAAACCACCTTACTCATGCCAGCTTATGCCAAACACCACAGATTGGGAGGGAAGTGATAGGGAAATTATTAATTTGCAACCTGCTTTTCAAAACAGGAGTAGGGGGGCTGCACTCATGTAGACTGTCAACCTTTTAAGAAGCACACTGGACTGAGACTGAATTCTGCTTCTAGCTGTTCTTTAGTAATTGTGTGGCTGAAAACAAGCCCCTTAACCTATCTAGCCTTCAGTATCTATATCTATAAAGGAGTAAGATGGGAAGTCAGTGGTAGACAGAAGGCTTTTTAATTTCTGATTTCTCTCTGACATTCTACTAATCCTTCTTTTCTCTACCTTTTTTCTGTTATATTACAAAGGCCTTGTTTTAATGTGCATTAGAAGTCCCTTTTCAAAAATCAAAAAACCATATTTAGAGTTTTAGGATATCAAGGAAAATTCTATACTCAAACTACCATCAAAAGCAGACACACCAGAAGAGTAATGACATAGCCTCACCCCCTGTATGCGAAGCTCTTCCTTCAGAGGTGCCAGGCTGCATTTCTTTCCCAGCATACAACTATACCACCTGGGGGAAAAAAATCAGACAAGTAAACACTGTTTATGTGGTTATATATTTAAACTAAGCATTATTCAAGTGAATAAGATAAGAACAGCAGCAAACAAACATTAAGTTACAAGTGACAATAACAAGAACTACATATAATGTATTTAGACAAAGACTGAATCTAGTGATGGAAAACAAGCCCAAAGTAACTTAAAAATAGGCCTGGCGCAGTGTGGCTCACACTTGTAATCCCAGCACTTTGGGAGGCCAAGGCAAGTGGACTGCCTTAGCCCAGGGGTTTGAGACCAGCCTGGGCGACTTGGCAAGACTTCATCTCTATAATAAATCAAAAAAATTAGCCGATGAGGTGGCATGCACCTATAGTTCCAGATGCACAGGAGGCTAAGTTGGAAGGCTGAGCATGGCCGGTCAAGGTTGCAGTAGCCATAAATATTCCACTGTACTCCAGCCTGGTTGACAGAGTGAGACTCTGAATAAAAAAAAAAAACCACTTAGCCTCCCCAATGTTTCAGGGCTACAAGTATTTGGAAAGAGAATAAAGGCGATAGGTCTAATGTGCAATACTTACAATGAAGGCCATAATAGGCCTAAGGCAGAAATTAGTCAACAAATAACAAGAAAATGTGCCATACTAAGAGTGCTTATAAAAACTACCATGTAACTGTATTGTGAGATGTCCTCACCTGCAAATAATTTAAGGTTAGATAATGCATTCACATTTCAACAGATCATGAAATCTATTTGTTCTATAGTAAATACAAAACCAGAAGAGGGAGTGTGAAGAAGCTGGAGTTAACTGGTTAAAAGGTAAAGGGATAGAATTTATTTCTTCTGGTTACTCTAAAAAGTTTGCAAAGTATAAAATTTATACAAGACTTCTATCTTCCTACCATAAACAGCTATAAAACTGAACAAAACATATGAAACAGCTGTTTTTCACACACCGAACTACTAGCAGTGTAGACCTGTGACCTCAGAGAGAGAAACCTTCAACTGCCAGAGCTTACTGCTTGAAGGAAATTTCTAGACTGCTGTGCAGGGGAAAAAAAATTCAAACACTGCCTAACAGTCTTGTAGAGTTGATGAGACAGAGATCGAAGAGACTGAGGGAGTTAAGATTTGTAAAGCAAATCAGTAAGAATAAACTAAATCCAAGCAAGAAAAAAAGGAAAAAGTAATGATCAGAGCAGAAACTGATTAAAAAGAAAACAGAAAAGAATAAGGACAACAAGAGCTTCCGTGGGAAACAAATTTTTCTGAAGTTAAGAAAAAAAAAAAAGAAGACATAAATTTCTAATATTGGTTTGAAATAGGAGACATCACTACAGATCTGACAGAGATCGAAAGGATAGAAAGAGAATATTTAAGAACAACTTTTTTGCCAACAGCTTAGCTGAAACAAATTTTTAAACATTTTTTTCGGCTGGGCTCGGTGGCTCAGTCTATCCCAATGCTTTGGGAGGCCGAGGTGAGTGGTTTGCCTGAGTCTGCAGGTTCGAGGCCCGCCCAGGCAACCTGGCAAGACTTCATCTCTACAATATATCAAAAATTAGCTGGGAATGGTAGCACACACCTGTAGCTCCAGCTACTTGGAAGGCTGAGGCGGAAGGATCGCCAGAGCCAAGCAGGTCGAGGCTGCAGTGGCCGGGAGGGTGCCACTGCACTTCAGTCTGGGCGACGGAGTGAGACTCCAACTCAAAAAAAAAATTTTTTTTACACTATCAAAGCTTACTCAAGAAGAAATAGATAACTTGAATAGCTCTATATTAACTAAAGAAACTAAGTTTGTAATTAAAAACTTCCCAGGCCCAAGTTATTTCACTGGCGAATTGACTAAACATTTAAGGAAGAAATAATACCAATTCTATAAAAACTCTTCCAAAAAAATTAAGAGGATGGAATACTTCCCAACTCATTTTATAAAGCAGGCATCACACTGACAAAGACAAAGACATGATAAGAAAATGATAGACCAGTTGCTTTCATAAAATATAAAAATCCTTAACAAGAGGGGTGGGGGCTGGGCACGGTGGCTCACGCTTAAAATCTCAGCACTTTGGGAGGCTGAGATGGGAGGATCACTTGAGTCCAGGAGCTCCAGACCGGCCTGGATAGTGAGACCTCATCTCTACCAAAGAAGAAAAAAAAATTTGCCAGGCGGGGTGGCTCACGCCTGTAATCCCAGCTCTTCAGGAGGTGGAGGTGAGTGGATTGCCTGAGCCCATAGGTTTGAGACCAGCCTGGTAACAAGGCAAGACGTCATCTCTACAATAATTTTTTTTTTTTTAGCCGGACTCGGTGGCTCAGCCTGTAATCCCGTGCCTTTGGGAGGCTGAGGTGAGTGAATTG